GCTGTTCACAATATATGCTATGTTTCTTCTTATTGGTTCATAATTTACATCAATTCTGGGGTTAATACTTCTATCATTGAAAGAAATCTTTATACTTACTGTAACAAAAAATTTAATTTAAAGGTTTTTTGGATATAGGGATGGAAAAGGTTCAGAAACTAGAGAGCATTTCGGATGAGATGCATTACTCATTTGTTTGTTCCACCACCTAACATATATATATGCATTTACCTTGTGAGTACAATGTATGAGTAGTGGAATCCAGGAATGGGTAATGCATCCTATTCTAAACGCTCTCTAGATTATAAACTTCTTCCATCCCTACATCCCAACGATTTTAAAATAAATTTTTTTGTTACTAGTTTCTTCACTTTTTTATGGTTAGCAGTGCATGTTGCACCATCTATTGATTGATAGACGTATTGAGCAATATTAAACAGTCTGTATTACTGCACATATTTTGGGCTGTAGCTAACCTATTGTGGATCACTTGGGGCTCTAGGTATGAAAGGCACATCTTAAGGAGTAGTGAAGTGTTTTGGTGTGCAAGCTGGAAGTAGGCATATTGTGGTTTATAAGTTACAGCTGATAAACAGGAAGAAAGAAGCTAAAGATAATCTATATTTTTACAACCTGTTTTCTAGACGTCAAGGAAGATTAGCAGAATTTTAGAGGCAGTTTTATACTTAGTTAGTGATGGGCTTTCTGCTGTCCCTTTAGCTAGGTTTTGTTGGTGTCCTAGTGTGTGTGCTACCATGCATAAAATGTACAAGCCACCAATTTCAACTGGACTTGGATTGCTACCATGCTCCCTGATTTTGAAGTTTTATTTTTTGACATCCAGGAAGTTTCCATGACTGCATTGTAGCCCTTTTTTGACAAGCATATTTGGGCCATCAATGCCAAATAATATGTGGGTGTCTGGTACATATCAGGGTCTCATGGATGCCAATTTGATGGGTCATCAGCTCTTTTCTTTTTTCCAGGAACAAGTCTGTTCTTTTGCTCTGGCTTTTTTCACCTTTGAGAAGCAGGTTTTGCTAACCAACTCATTCATGATGAAGCTTCTGCTGAATGTATTCTTTTGTTTCTCATGTATGTAACATTATAAACTTTAAACCAATTTTTGTTACAACTGAACCTTCTAGTGTTTTGTTCCAAGACTCAAGTTTGGAATCTTTATTTCTTCCTTCTCCTCCTGACATTTGGGTAATGCCTGATGCTTTTAGAAATTGGCTCAATTTCCAGGTACTAAATTTGTTTTGCATTTCTCATTCCTCCGGTCTTTTAGAGGGGTCTTTATTCATTTGACATCTCAGACTTTAGATTCTCTGATTGTTTTTTGAGGGGGGGGATCTTCTACCTTGTTTTCCACTCAGTCTTTCTATTCAGTTTTTTACCTACACTATAATTATTCTGATTTTAAAACTTTCTTTTATTAGCACAGTTACTAATTGTTAGTTATTTTCATTCTACAGATTATTTTTCTCAGTAGCAAGCAGCTGCTTTACACATTTTTCTTTTTTTGCACCTTTTCCTGACTGAGTCTTAGTTATCATGTGGCTAGCTTTGCCTCCCTCCTTATATTTTGAATGATCTTCAAAGGTATTCTTTCTTACACCATTTTGTGTCTGCCTTTACTTTTCCAAAATTGGTTTCTGAGTCAGGAGAAGTTTGTCAGCAGGAGCTGACTGTCTTCTCTCATTACACTTGGTCATTGTCCTAATATTAGATGTTCAGTTAGTAATAGCTGACCTCTTGTATTACATGCTTCTTCTCAAAACTTTTTCTTCCTTTGAGTTGTGGAAGGTATAAACATGCTAGTTTCAGTTGAATATTTGTTTTTGATTGTATTTTGTAGATTTTTATTGTCACACTTTTTACAAGAGTGTGACAATAAAAATCTACAAAATACAATCAAAAAAAGGAATAGTGATGGCAAACTGGATCTAACATCTGTTGGATAGAACCTTACTGAAAATGTTTTAGTTTATTATTGACAGTTTTCTTCAACTCTTAACTACTAAGGATATTGTCCACTGCCAGACTAGGCATCACAAGCCTTAGGCTCATTAAGAAAATATTGTGTCAATGACTTTGGTCAACCATTAATCAGTATTTGGTAGGTTCAAAATTTTTGCCAATAGCTAACTTTTTGTTCATTGTGACCAGTGATTACCCTGTTTCAAGTTACTTATTTTTCATTAAATATTGAAATTCACATGATTTATTTTAACCTTTATAGGTGCTATAAAGAGTTTAACATTAAACTTTATTCTTAATTTTGTAAACTACTGTTGTGTGTTTTATTGATTTTATAAACTGTATGAGGAGAACTGATCTATTTTCTGTATGTTATTGTCGGTTTATATGCATGCTTCATAGTACATTTAATACATAACTTATGATGGTCTCACGAAAGGGTAAAAGTGTTTATTTGTAACAGTAAGGTTAATATATTATTTAACAGTATAGTTTAGAACTTATAGTTTAGAACTTAAAGTCAGTTTGATAAAGTTTAAAAAATTGTTGCATATTGTCCTCTTTTTTTTCTCGTAAAAAAAATCTAATACAGTCACAGAATTTCATTAAAGAAGTTATATAACATTTGAGAATATTCTTATGTGTCTGTGAAAAATCCATAACATTTATTCAGATGTAGATGATTGTGTGGTAAAAGACTGTCTGTATAGACCTTATTTGATGTGGGTTTGTTTTAATGCAGTACCCGTTGCTATAGGAGCCACTCTTGTTGCATATCTTGCTGTAAGTATTACACAAAAAACTTATTTTGTAATACATTATTTTTGATGCTGAGTTTCTTAAAAAGAATTATAATAGATACTTTTTGTAGTTGTATTTAATAATGTTTTTAATATAAGTTTTTTGTGTAGTTTGAAATTAAATTGATTCAGCAGAATCTAACATTTAAAAACTTAGCCTTTGAAACTCTTATTTTGTGTATGTTACACTTAAACCTCAAAGTAATATATCTTTATAGTTGCTATTTAATACAGGCAACAAATATTACTGAATTATTAAAAAATACTGGAAAGAAAATGTAACTCAATAATGATAAATTTTTGAGAAATAATAGTCTTGTTTTACTGAATGTGTTTAGAAGTTTTACGACCAAAATTTTTGATATAGTAGATATGTGAAAAAAAATCAGAAAAATTCTTGAATTGTCAGACATTACAAAGAATAGCTAGAAAACTCTAAGAGTAATCTCCAAATGTTGGTAAAAACCTGAAAAAATAATGGAAAATATGAAATAAAAGCAAATTTTACTGAACAAAATAATGCCAGAAAACAATTAAATGTCAATGAAGCATTACAATTTTTGCAACATTTTAAATTAATGATATTCTTATGTTCCACCAGAATACCTACTACTAAAATATGATATTTTCTGAGATTGTTGAATAGGTTGAGTTGATGTTTTAATTATAAATATGTTCATTTTAAGTATGTCCTTTAGTGGGTCAGCATTAAATTTATGGACCTACATCAGAAAAACCCTGGGGTTCATTCCATGTAGTGGGCAGAGCTCACATAGCCATTGTTTAGCTTTGTACATTATAAATATTTTACATAATTACTGCAAAGTGAATTATTTGAAGATTGGTTTTTGCACTTGTTTTGAAAGTGCCTAGAAATTTTTAGTCAACCTAAAAATAGACACAAAGTTATTAATTGCCACATGCAAAATTTTTCATTTTTATCAATGTGTTTTTTTCTCAGGTAACTTTCATGGGTGAAACTTAGAAAAGTAATATTTTAAACTTAATATCATCATAGCAGGGCTAGAAGTATTATTTTTCATACTATGGTAGGCTGTGAAGATCAACAAAAATAAAACTATTCAGAAAATGCTTATCAATCATCTGTTTAATTTAGATCAATACCATTTAAAGCAATAAAAGTTTGACACAACATCCAAATATTTAAAATAGGCAAATTGATTTTTATTCATTTTGTTGCATAAAATACCATGTACGTTAGAATAAAAAAGTTGCATATATGTATAATAACTAAGAGTAAAAAGAACATCTTTTAAATCTTATGTAGGCACCTAATGACAATGAAAACCTGAGTATCATCAGTGGTGTGACAAAGAATTTCATAAATCGAGTGACAAAAATTTTAAGATGTGAAATAATGGTATAATAAATTGCAAGGAACTTCTTATGAGACTACCTCAGCAGAACAGACTGTTTGCTTTTGTCACATGCACTTATTTCTTGTGAGGAATAGCTTTTACTTCATGTAATCATGTTTGTAGGCTCACACTGTATTTAAATAGTCCACATTTCAGTCACATAAAACAAGTGCAAGATAAATTTTTTTCTGCATAGATTCTAAACTTGAAGCTAATCTTTGAACAGTCATCCCATGATATGTTTTTTCTGACATTTAATAATTTCATCTCACCTCTTTCCAGAAGACTATAACGTAAAGACAAGAATAAGAAACATGAGCAGTAGACCTTTTGAATGTGCTCAGGTTATTGGGTTTCATAATGTTATAAAATATATGTCATGGTTACACTAGGTAATTTTCATAATGGTTCTGCTCAATAGGGCACATTTCCAACTTTGTCTTCATTCATAAAGTTAACTATCAGACAAAATCTGAAATACAGTAGTCAACATTTGCTAGAGATCATGTTTTTACATAATAGTTAATGTTAATAAAGGTCAGTTCTAAAAACAGATTTAGCATGGAAGACCATTATCTGACACTGTCTGCCAAGTGCAAACATTCTGCCTGGGTGACTTTGATTGGATCCTGGCTTTGTTTTCCAACCATACCCCTAAATTTAAAGTTCATACAGTGAAATTGTAAGATCACTTATCACTGCATACTAAAATTGGTCTATTGAGATTATGCAGTGCAGAAAATGCCTCATTTAGGTCAAAGGCATCATCTTTCCCCTGCAGAACTTAACAGGGCTGTTGGAATGCTGCAGGAAGGCATGACTCAATGCAGGGTTGCTGCTGCTCTTGGAACATACCAAAGTGTGGTGTCCAGGGCCTAGAACAGGTTCAGATGGTTTGGCAGAGTTAATAGGAGAAATGGTGAATGAGGGAGAAGGCTAACAACTCCACAACAAGACTGTTACTTGACCATCCAGGCTCGAAGGAATCACTTTGCTCCAGCTGTTAACTTCCATAACTCCCTCTAAAATGCCACAGGAGTCCAAATGTCTACACAGACAGTGCGCAGATTCCTTCACGAAACTCAGTTGAGTGCTGAATGTCCTGCTATTTGTGTTCCTTTAAGTCAATAGCACAGGCAGGCACAACTGCAGTGGGCTAGAGAACACAGGAGGTGGACTGTGCAACAAAAGAGGGCTGTACTTTTCACTGACGAGTCCTGCTGTGTGGACTTTCTTGACAGACTAAGAGTTTGGAGATGCCCTGATGAGGGCTCAGTCTTGATGTGGGGAGGCATCTTAATTGCAGGCCTACCAACCTTGTAATCATCCAAAATGGAAGGTTCACCGGTCTATGATACAGAGATGAGATTTTTGCACCCATTGTTTGTCCATATGCAGGTGCAACATAGCCAAACTTCCTGCTTATGAATGACAATGCACATCCACACTGCCTTACCAAGAATGCTCCAGAACCTGTAAGCTGCCCCTTATTGAAGAATGGCAACAGATTCCACAACAATGATTGGCTAATCTGATCATGAGCATGTGCAGACATTGTGCAGTAGTCATTAATGCTCGAGGTGGTCACACAGACTACTGAAATCATCTTGACTATGAATTGGACACTTCTTTCAATGACTGTTGAATTTGAAATTTTTCTTGTTAACACTGTACCACAGAGTGCATCAGTGCCTCAGGCTCTGTTATCCAAGTTAAATTTTACAGAATTTAATAAGATGTAAAAATGACTTATCCAGGTGTTTTTCTTCCTAAAATGTTCAAACTATACATACCATTGTGATAGTTGTTTGACATATACTCAAAATATAACATGATCCCTTGCAAATGTTGACTACTGTATTTAAATTTCAATATTACATTTTCAGAAGTGAACTGGTGGCTTGGTGTCTGAATATGGTGAATAATTTGTTTGTGGTTATTTTGTGTTGAATATAAAGGCATGTGATGTAGGTGTTGTTGGCTGCATTGGGTAAGATCTAACAGGAAATTACTGCACAACTAAATTACATGGTAGCCATGATAAATTTTTTGGTTACCTGATCCTTTTATTTTTCCAGCAGGAAAATGGTTTGCTGCAAAGAAATATGTTTGAATATGTGGAAAAGTTAGGTTAGACTAATCCTCACAGCTTTTATCAACTTTAGAAATAACAGTGAAGAGAAATTACTACAGATAGCTGCTAGAACATAGTTCACAATATTCCTCAAAAGATATCAGTTGTTATTCAAGCCAAAAGTGGCATTATACAGCATATTAAACCCATGATAATTTAGACCCTCTTTATTACTAACTATGTGGTACAGTATATCTACATGTACAGTCAAAATTGGTATAAATTCAATGAAAAACTGGAAAATATAAATACATGTTAGTTTCCATTAAGTTATTGACAGAATGTGCGTATCACACATTTTAAAAACATATTTTTGCTAAAATTGAAAGTTCTGTGTAATAGAATGTACACGTGTCTTTATTATTACTATAAAACTGAATTTTTTGAAATGTGTTCATAGCATAGTAACTTCTAACAGATATCTATTACTGCATATTATTATACATATGAATTAGAATTCTCAAGGATTGTTAGTGATAAACTAACATATATTTTCAACTTAAATTTCAGCCAGTAGCAGCAGGCAGTGGTATTCCTGTGATAAAATGTTACCTCAATGGTGTGAAAGTTCCAGAAGTTGTTCGTGTCAAGACTTTCATAGTGAAAGCGGTTGGTGTTGTTCTATCGGTCGTTGGTGGACTTGCTGTAGGAAAGGTCTTAATATTGCTTTGATATTTTTATAAATTTACTCTGTTTTATAAAGAATAATAGAAGAAACCAGAACTCTCTTTTCTACAAAACCAGTATAATTATTTTTTGTTGATTTTTGTGATTAAACAAATTTAATCACAAAAACTTGTCAAATTTGTAACACAAAAATTCCCCAGTGAGTTAGTGCTATATGTTATTTTTCTTTGTTTGTATAAGAATCATAGGCTAAATTATAATTTTTTAAATTAAATATTATTTTGTGATGTTTTTTTATGTTAAAGTGTATTTTCAGATTATTAACTAATGTTTTATCTGTTTGTAAAGTTAGTGTTTTTGATTCACCCTTTTAACTAATGTCACATACTGTTTATCTCACTGACAATAAGACTCATGGCCAGTGTATTGAACATTTTAACATTATCTGAATAAATATCTTAGGTTGAATGTTTAGGTTGTTACATTATTCAGTCCTTGTTAATTATAATATGTTTGTAAAAATAATTCTTTAACACTTTATATACACATGGATATATCAGAGAAATTTTACATGAGCTTCAGTATATCCATTCATCAACCATTGTGATTTAAGGGTCTTGGGTTTGATTCCCACTGTCACCAAATTTACTTGCCCTGTCACTGCTTTTGAACTTCTGTCTAGAAGGAAGGCAATTGGCTGGAAACAAATACCACTAATCACCTTGTTTTATTTACCAGTATTCTTTTATTATATCCAGATGGAGGTGAACCTAACCAGTCAAATGATTACACAGGCCTGCAATGGTTTTTATTGTCTTGAAATTTTTACATGTTCTAAAGTAATTCCTGTACACCAATTGCAAAAATGTTATCCATTTTTCTCCATCATGTACAGATTTCTTACAAAACATCATATGTACCTTTATGAAACCAGGTCACATTTTATTATGCTTAAAATGTTGATAACCATTGGCTATTGATTTCTCTAGACCAATTATGACAAGTGAGTCTTATCGATTGTTCTAAGTAAAAAATGCTCATTGTGGTAAACGATATAATAATTTGATCTAAGTAAGAGTTTTTCCAAAACATACTTACCTGTGGTGACACTATAGATATTTCTTGACCTCCAGGGTTTCCACTTTTTGTCCATCTAAGCATTGAAAATGCTTGATCCATTCTTTTATACCCTACTCGAATGCTCATGGCAAATTGTAATTTGCAAAATTCTCCACCAACTTCAATGCACCCTCTATCTAGGTACTGTATATAAGCACCTTCTTCAAATAATATAATTAATTTTTCTTGACAAAGCTTTCAGCACAGGTTTATATAAACAGGAATGTTGTAATTATTCACAGTTTACGTTGTGACTTTGAATGTGGTTGGCATTTCTGCAGTTATATCTTTGTATATATTTATTAGTTAGATTGACAAAAAAAAAACATACTGACGAGCATGAATTTCTGAGTTAATGTTTCTACTACAGAAGCCTACCAGACCTCTTCCCTTCCACCTCTGCTATTTGACAGCCAGGGGAGGGGTTGCTCTCCGTCGAGGCTGTCCGTGATATGATCCATTGTGACATGGTGAGATATATGCGGACCAGGGGTGTGTCTTTGGAGGGTTCTGATGCAGCTTTTGCAAATGACCTGGGACCAGTTAGGGAAAATTTAGACTCCTTTTTTCCGGCTCCTTCTTCTTCTAGGTCAGCCTCAACAGAGGATCATTTTGATTGGCCCCTTTTCTTCATTTGGTTACTCAGGTTTGTCAGGTTTTTCCCATTGCATTTGACTCCACTCCTTTGTTGGCAGAATGGACAGCAAGTGTTTACTTGTTTTTTTCTCCTTCTTCTGATATTGCTAATAATGCTGGAAGATTTGCTGCTCAATTTCATGACAGGATAGCTATGCCTTGTCTCACAAGTTTATTGGAAAAACATCCTTTGGCTCATCACTGCCAGGGGGCTGTATATTTAGATTCTCAATGGATGGACTCCCGTTTGGACCTGTGGGGGTTTAGATTAAAACCTGTGATCGCTTTAAATAGTTAACAGTTTTCTTGGATTCTTCCTGCTCTCACGACTGTTCTGGGATATATTTCTTTGATCTAACTTTTGTCTGAAGCCTATCAACGTTCCTTTAAGCAATTTGAGGATGAGTTGGAGATTTTGCTGACATCTTCCTCAGTCATATTGTCTTCTTCAGTTCATTCCTTGGTTTGTTCTTAGAATTTTTTGGTGCTAATTGGGTGTGTCAGCTCTTAGTGTTTCTTGACTTCCTCCTTCAGTTCCCATAATAGAATTCATTTGTATTCTTGAGGATCTTCAGCTTGAGTCGACCAACGACAACAGCATCAGTGACTATCCTGATGGGTAGGGGAGCAGTTGGAGCATGATTATCTCATTTTCTAAACATCTGGAGTTTTTTCACCAGGGATCCATAGGTACTTCTTGTTCTGGCTTCAGGTTTGTTCATTCAATTTACATCACCTACAGCATTATCTGCACAACCTGTTACCTTGTCACCTCCAACAGATCCATGGCTAGTGGAGGTTCGTTCCCAGGCCATAAGAGAGTTGTTAGTCAAAAGGGCAGTAGAGAAGGTCTGTCCCATTCTTCCGAGAATTTTATTCCCGATTATTTGTTGTAGCCAAGAAGTCAGGAGGTTAATGTCCAATCATCGATCTGTCTTGATTCAACCAATTATTAGATTCTCCTTGATTTACAATAGAATCTTTTATGAAACCTAAGATGGCTTTTTGGACTAGGGTTCTGGATGTCCAAGTTTGATCTGAATCTTCCTGGTGGTTTCTCAGATTTTGTGCACAAGGGTCAGGTGTTGCAGTTCAGGGCTCTACCTTTTGGTTTTGCATCAGCATTATATGTCTTCTGCAGATTTGTTCAGGTTTTCTCATTCTTTGGGCCTATACACACATCATTATATGGATGATTGGCTCCTTATGGCACAGTCATTTCAATTAGCAGAACAACACTCTCAGATTCTCTTTTCAACAGCTACAAAAGTGGGCTTCCTTATCTGACTGGAGAAATCGATTCTGTCACTGATGCAATATGTTGTCCATCTGGGTGGGTTTTTCAATATTCACTTCACTCATGCTCAACCAACCACTATCAAGCTTCAAGCCATGGAAAGAGCCATCAGGCTTTTACTTATGTCTCCTTCTCCTACTTCATGGATGGTTCTTTCTCTTTTTGGGATGTGTACCTCTCTGTCCTTTGGGACAACTTCATATGAGTCCCTTCAGTGGTCACTGCATGACCAATGAATCATACATTCAATTACTTTGGATTAACCTGTCTCATGACTCGGGAGCAACATCGTAGATTGCAAATGGTGTTGGGATTAGAACAACACTATTATTGGGGTACCCATTCCACCACCTCATTTCGAGAACTATCTGTTCACAGATGCATCTCTTCAGAAATAGGGATCTTATCTTCTAGGTCAGGAGTTCCAGGGTATTTGGACGGAAGATGAGTCTACCCTCCATATCAACATTCTTGAACTCCAGGCAATGGTTCAAGGTCTGTCTCTCTAGAGGGAAAAAAAATTGTCATGATACTTTCTGTCAATTCCACGGTGGTATCTCAGACTTCTTGTCAAGAAGACACACATTCTTGAGACCTTTGTCTTAATACCTTGGATCTTCTCTACTGGGCTCATTCCCTTCATATCAGTCTTTTACCTTGTCATGTTCTAGGAGTGATGAATTTACTTGCAGATCACTTGTCTCAACCCAACTGGATTCTTCTAAAGGCATGGATGCTACATCACAAGGTTTTTGGTGGATATGCTCTCAGTTCGAGTCTCAAATGATCAATGCCTTTGCAACTCGTTGGAATTCTCAACTGTAGTTGTTTTGTCTCTGATACCTCAAGCGCTGGCTGTTGATGCATTCAGTCAGGACTGGACTGGTCTACATCTGTATGCCTTTCCCCCCAATTTGACTATTGCACTGGGGTTCTGACTATGGTTCATTCCACTCCCTGTCAAGTTCTCTTGGTTGCACCATATGGACAAGCTCAAACATGGTTTCTGCTTCTTCGGTATCTGCAGGAATGTCCACCTCTACCTCTTCCACTTTGGCAGTCTCTGTTGAGACAACCTCAATCAGACATTCTCCACCCAGATGTTTGCTTAGTCTATGGTGGTTTTATATAAGGCATATTTATCCACAATTTTTCAGTATTCCAAATATTGTAAGGTTTTTGAATCCCCACTACTGTCACATCTATTCAAATACTTTTGTATTCTTCAGTCCAAATTACCTTTTCAATTACCGAATTGGGATTTTTCAGTTGTTGTACATGCATTGGCTCATCCTCCCTTTGAGCCATAAGCTTGGTATTCATTGTTTCACCCTTCTCTTAAATTGTAATTTTTGTTGTTTTGGCTTATGGACATCGTCGGTAAAAGTTGTTTGCAATCCACGTACATTGGACTCTTTATCATTCTACATTTGTCCTGCTTTACCCTGATAGGTCTTTTCATCCCAAGAATCTGGCAACCAGGGAAGGGAATAGATCCTTCTCACCAATCCATATGCCAGCCATTTCTCACATTTATGACAGCTTTGATCAAAATCTTTTGTTATGTCATGTCAGGGCCTTCATATGTTTTATTTGGTTTGTACTAACTCATTTCAGGGTACTAAGAATTGATTGTTCATTTTTTGGAATCCTTCTATTTCCCATAACTTATCTCCTGTTACCCTAACGAGGTAACTTCGTAAATTGATTCACATGACCTATTTTGGATTATCGTTACAGGAGAGCAATCTTTTGCATGCCACATCTCAGATTCATGACAGATTCATCATTTCTCTGTCATTAGATGCCTGGTTTAATTGTCCTCTGGAAGACATTGTGCAGACTGGTATGTGGACTGCTCCTAATATTTTGCTATCTTGTTACTTACATAATCTGGCAGTTTCCTCTTCTGAGGTTTTTGACAACCGCCTGTAGCTATTTTGACCACATCTGTTAGCCTTTAACCAGAGGTGAG